GGATTAAATAACAAGATAAATAATCTTTATTTCCACATCTCTGTCGTTTATAAAATTAAGTGTTCACAATCAATATTAACAAGGCAACACAGAGGATCGTTTGAAGTTCTCAGAGAAGGAAGTCAGGCTCTGGAGACGGTTCTGTCTGGAAGATCAGGGAGACGGGGAACACTTGGATGGAGGCCGAGGAACCTGATGGCTCCTCGGCTGTTAGAGGAGTTTGGGCGCCACGCTGGAGGCGCTGTGCAACATCTACAGCCGTGCAACCCAAAGGGATCAGTGTGCGTCTCTGGAGCCTGCGTTCCCACCGAGTCCTTCAACGTCCCGCCGGTAAAACTTTGTAACATCATCACTGCGTAACGCTCAGTGTAAACCAGACACAGTTCATCAGCAGCTTCATGAACGTTCTCACACCAGATAGCCCCTCGCTGAAATGATCGGCCACTAACAAGCTCTACTCTGGTCCATCTGAATGCGGTTTCCTTTTCCCTAGGCTAAAAGACAAAAAATAAAAATACACAAAATTGTAAAAAAAAAAAAAAAAACCTAAACAGGAACAATGAAGAAAAAAAAAAGAGATTCTTTGATGTCATGTCCACGAAAGAGACGCAAGTTGTCCTCGTAAATCTTTGCTGTTGGATCTCGGGTGTAAAAATTAAATATTATAAACTGTATCAGGTTATTATTACAGTAACAAGTTTCCATGCGATCCTAGTTTCCTCGTTTGTACACAACTGAGGACTCAGTAGTAAATACCAGCGATACAGACGGAGTGTCAGCATGTTGCAAAGCTGTGGGGACCTGGGGGCAGGGACAGAGGGACGTTGGACAGACGAGACACGTTCAGAATCGAACCAGAATCCAGATGTGGGTCTGAAAGGAGAAGTCCACCATAAAATCTGCTGACAGTTCCCCCCGCCGCTTGTTTCTGCAAAGATCAGGAATCTGATTGCCATCAGGAATGACCTCAGAGAGCATGTGAAACATCTGGAATCCATGATGTCATGTCATGCAAGTCCCCCCCCCCCCAAAGTAAATAAATAAAAACCCAACATGACTTACAGTAAGAAACTGCCAGTTTTATGATGGACTTGTCCCGTTTTCAAACAGAACACTGAAAATCCAACTTGCTGCACGAAAAAGGAGGAATAAAAGAACAATCTGCACTTTTAGTTCATTTACACACAACAGATGTTTCATCAGCTGCTGCTTTGAAGTCAGATCTGTGTAAAAAAAAATAAAAATCACTAAATTTACCCAAAATGTTCAAGTCTTGATCAAACAAAGCATTTTAGTGTGAATGCATTTTCCCCTTGTACTGGTGTTCAGCCACCAACACAGAAAGCCGGCTTTAATCCAGTTACATGAACGTTTTAACGTAACCCCCCCATGGCTGACCCAGTCCTCAGAGCACCAATGTCCGAAATGAACCCCCCCACCAAAAAAAACCAAAAAAAAAAACGAAGACTTAAAAGACTTTCCAGCTCCACTGTGGGTTCATTCAGTCAAAAACATTCTTATCTAAAACAAGTAAATCGCTGAAGCACTGAGAGCACGAGAGGAGCTGAGGACGCAAATAACTGTGTGTGTGTGTGTATGTGTGTGTGTAGGGGGGGGCACCTTCATTCACTCACTGCAGGGGGCACCTGTCAGTTAAAGTGTCTGTGGTAACATTCATCTGGACCACATCTCTAATGTGGAGCTTCTAAGGCTTGGATGGTCGATGTGCTTCAAACAGTAATGATTCACGACCGACAGACATTCAAACTGTTTGCTGATGACGTGTGTGTGTGTGTGCGTGTGTTTCAAATAAATCAAACTCAATGACTTATTCCAACGAGGCTGAATGCAAACAGCTGATAACACCATGAAGAGGAAATGGCTAAAACTCCAAATGATCAGGAAAGTTTGAAGCGGGGTTCTGTGCAAAGCTTACGAACAAATAATATCTTACCTGCTGCATATAGCTCTGTCAAAGACCTCAGCGTGGACACGTGGAGTTTGATTGTGATCTGAATAAAAAGCTAACGGCTAACTGAACGCAGC